GGATTTATTACTTCAGGTTATTGTTGATTTTCCTCTTCAGAGGCATCTGACTTTGTTTTATTTACATACCTTTTATTTTGCATGGGAAATAAGCATTTTTATTACCAACCTAACAGCTAAATTCACTGCCATCAAGTTGATTCTAACTCATAGCAAGCCTGTATAGGATTTCTGAGACTATAAGTTTTAAGGCAGGAGACAGACTTACTTAGCTTTCTTCCATGGAGCAGTGTGTTTGAACTGCTGCCCTTGCTGTTAGTAGTTCAGTGCCTAACCCACAGCACCCCAGGGCTCCTTAACCATTTTCTTAGTGAGCTTAAACTACAAATGAGTGACTGGGGCTCACTGGATTCTTTCACCTCCCTAAAATATTGAGGAACCTAGTGTAGTTTCTTTCCTTTTGTAAATCTGATTAAGTCTTTCTAATACCATATGTAAAGTAATTTAGTACAGATTTAATTTCTCCATAAACAATATTTTTTCATAGAAAAAAACCCCACTGAATGTTTACCACCTAAAGGGAACCACTAGTAACCTTCTAGTGTCTCATTCTTTGGTTCTGCCTAAATTTAGGTTTTAAAATACTTTTTCTTTCTCTCCCAGTCATGGCACAGATTGAAAAGCAAGAGAGATTTGAACAGTATACTACCTTTAAGAACTGCGATCCTGAAAAGATAACTGGCCATTGTTTCTTGATACAGTCTTCTGAGAAATAAAGAACAATAGTAACACAATGCATTTTGTTTACCTCTATCATGCTTCTTTTAAATTCTTCTTGTTTTCATGTTTATTTTTAAAATGACATACTTATACATAAAGATTATATATTTTATTATGGCATTTCCTAATAAAATTCTTTGATTTAAAAATGTATTTTTGAAAATGTTTACATTTACAGTTAGTAATATTATGGCATGCATTATCAGGAGTCTAGATGAAATATTTTAGAGGGAAATTACCTGAACAAATAAGAGATTTTCAATATAACTTCATTTAATTGTACTACATGCTAACACTGAAGAGATTAGAGGGATTTTAGAAAGATTCTGGTTCATACATGCTAAAAATGTAACCTACAGTAGAGAGAATTTGCTTAAATCTATTCTGGTGAAGTTGAGATTCAAGTCAGTTATTCAGTTACTTGAAACAAAAAGAAATTTTATTTCAGCTCACATTTCTGTGAAATCACTGCAAAAACCTGTAAGACTGGACAATTGCCTTCAGTCTTCACTTGACTTACTGAGACAGACTGAGGCTTTGGATATGTCTCTAGTATTTCATTTGTACCTCATAGGCTTTTGATGTACTCTGGAGATTGCTTTAAATTTTGTGTTGAAATAATAAAACATTTTGCACTGTAGTAATATGAGCACTAACTGTATTGTACAGCAGTTAGTGGATCGTTTTAAGAATCAGTTCAGTGTAGGCATTCTGAAAAGTCCCCTGTGCTTTTATAATAGCTTAGTGCGATGTGCACTTTTGCTTTACTTTGTGTTTTCCTGCCTTTGTTTTCCTGTGACACAAAGCAACAAGAACTGAAAGATCAAAGTTAAGATTATGTCCTATATATAATATCAGATTTTTTTCTGTGTACAATTATAGGGTTATAATCTAAACTGGAAGTTGTAGGCAGTAAGCCACTATAAAATATCTTAAACAAGACATACAAAATTATTGTTAAAAACTTAATGTTTGTAATGATATTTTTTTTAGTATTTTCCACATAGTGGTGGCTGCTAAAAAGGCTACGTTTATTAAGGTTGCTTTTGATTTATGTAAATATTTGTAAATTGGTCAGTGCCTGTAAATTTCAATATAAAAAGTAATCCTGAAACCAGTTTTAACTTTTTCAAAAGGACTGGTACAACTCTTTTAGACCTGCTGTAGGCAGTTTGTACCTCTAATGTAGTTGTTTTTTGCAGATCAATTCGAAGGCTAAAACTTTTGCTTTTCTCTGACTTGTAAAAGGTGCATATTTTGATTTTCTTCTTTAAGTTTCAATTTTTTGTATGATGTCAAATGAAATAAAGTTTATATATGGAAATCGTTGGATGGTTTGGTTTTTAAAGCCTTTGCTTTTAACTTGCAATTGAGACAGTGGTTACCATACAGAATTCACTGAATCTAATTATTGTCTGTGGTTATTTGATTAAAAATCTTAGGATCAAATTCATCTGGGGGAAGGCAGGGGAAAAAAATTCAGATTTATTCAACAGGAAGACACAATTAGTAAGTATAACTGCAGAGCTTTTCTGTAGTTCACAAAGACATCTTTAATCTTGACAGCCCTGGTGTGTTCTCTTTATCAATTTTTCCCTCCAGGTAAGAGACACTGTTACTGTGATCACTTAAATTCCAGAAGGAAAGCCACAACTTGGGAAAAAAACAAAAGCAACACTTGTTTTAGACCTCAAGAGGTCAGGTGCCATAGCTAAAGCAACAAGCGGCTTTTGGTAGTGATCTTGATGAATAGTTTTAATTTGGAGGAGGCCTTCCACAGGTGCAGGGGAGACTTTGCCCAGAAATTGAGAGTCTGTATGCCGCCCTCCTCATCTAACACAAGAGCACGGTTTCAAATTCATTTATTACACAGACAGCAAGAGATTCAGAACAACAAAAACCCAACAACAAATACCCCTCGAATGCCCAACAGCTCTCACGAATGCATCACCTCTTAAGTTAGCACTGGGTGTGGGAAGACTCCCATTGGTCATCAAATAGGAAAATAGACTGGCTACAAAAATTTAAAAATAAGGTAAATAAATATATATTCCTTTCTGAATCCTTTTGACTTTTTCTTGGGTAAATGCCACCCCTCTGACTTTAAATGTTTGGTTATTCTAAGGTGTACCTCCCTACCTAGGGGTGGTGGTCCCTTGAGCCACAGGGATGAATTCAGTTTCAGGCCTGAAGGGTAGCTAAGGATGATAGGCTCAGGGGCTACACCAATCTCTGTCACACCAGTGCAACTCATGGAATTGATTCCGACTCAGTGACCTTGTAGGACAGAGTAGAACTGCCCGTGTGGGTTTTTCTTCTGGACAGTTGCACTGTACATGGCTACTCATGAGCTGAGGTGCATTTTAAAGATTTCTGGTGTTTAACACATTTTAAGGAATTAAGCCTTTAATAGTTAATTTTAGATTTATTAATTATGTTAATTATTATTTTAATTCATTTTTCTTGGAGCATTTCCCAAAGCATATTTGGGTACATTTCCCAAAGTATAAACTGCAAGTTTTCTTAGAATGTATTGAGTATAATTAACAGTCTCATGATGACTTCAGATGGTTATGAACAATACATAGTAATCATGATCCTGTATTGTAATTCTGTGCAGCAACCAGGAATGGGTGTGTAGGGCATTCTACCACTGCATCCTAAATTTTAACCACCCAGTAGACTCCTTCACAACGACTGCTCTGTCAGCTTCCACTGACCCACACTTCCTACAACATCATTTCCACTGTTGTGCTGTAGCACACAGATCAGGAAACTAACAAATGTAAACAGGCTTACTTTTAAATCAACAGATTGTACCTTGTGATAGGCCAAATATGTCAGATATGGGCAGATGTAAAACCTGGTGTAGAGAACCCTGTGGGGATTGGATTCTGCTGTCTGCCCTCGAGCCCACTAATTGTTTTTGAACTAGCCACAGGTCTGTGCAGGTGGACCTAATATATGTATAAAAGCTAGTAAAACCGGCAGGGAAGGAGGGGGAAAAAGTACCTGATGCTAGGGACTTAAGTGGAGAGCAAATGTTTTGAGAATGATGAGGGCAATGAATGTAAAAATATGCTTTACACAATTGATGTATGTATGGGTTGTGATAAGAGTTGTATGAGCCCCTAATAAAACTATTAAAAAAAATTTCATTATCCAAATGAAAAAAAAAAACTAGTAAAACTGATGGATGGTACCCAGCTTATATTCATCATATTTAACAACTCTGACTAGAATTCTAATATGTATGAGGGGGGCGGTGGGAAAATTCCATGATCTTTTTACTGCATTTTTTCATGAACACTTATAAACCCCCTGTATATGTAGGTGTGTAGCTCTGTTTTTCTGATCTATCCAGGTGCATGTTGTTATGCCAACTCTGCAGTGAGTTTAGTATTTGTTTTGTATTTAAAGACACACATGCATATATATTTCTAACAAAAAGCAAGCGTAATAAAATCCTTAGAAAGAATGTACATTGTAAAGATATCTTTACCTGTTGACTGTGGGAAATAAAGGTTATTCTCCAGGTTATCCCCCCATATTATATGCCAAACCTTAGGTACTGATTGCTAATACATGGTCAATGCCTGTATATTTGGAGATCAGCTGCTTAAAGGTTATCTCCCTGAGGGTTATCAGAACCTATAGCCTGTCCCGCCCTACACACCCATCTGAAAAGGATAATGTATTGTTCCCCTGAAGGAGAGCCCAAAGACTAAGGTCAAGCCAATTCAGAGAGGACGAAGGTTAGGCTGCCATTTTGAATCTAGAGTCCATCCATCCTGTACACTCCTAGTGCCTCCTCCCCTTCCTATTGCGTGTACACCTTTAGCTTGTGCCCTTCCTGTTGCACGTATGCTTATTGTACAACCCCTTCCTGTTATACATGTGGTTACCTGTAATTAGGAGGGCTTGCATGCCCACTAACTGTATATAAACCTTGGTTAGAAATTTATTTGCTCTTTACATGGGCCTGGCTGCTAACATCATGGCTGTCCCAGAGGTGAGCATTCGCATGCTTTATCTTATCTCTTTAATTTTACCCCCCAATTACACAACCACCTCTTGGACCCGTTTGATTGTGGGGGTTGGTACCCCACACAAGAGAATGATAAACAAAATTCAGACTAGTGGATACTCGGGCAGGTATGGAAGTAGGATGAGGTAATGGAGGGATGTGTAGCATGTTGTTGCTGCTGTTATTGTGTGTCATCAAGTCAGTTCCCACCCATAGTGGCTCTATTCACAACCGAATGAAACTAAGGGACTGAGTGGTAGACTAGAGAGAGTATGTTGGGCGGATTATTCATAGTCCACTGCTTCCAGCCTGGCAGAGAAAAAAAGGGCATTAAAAACAAGGCTCAAAAAGAAGCAGGAAAATAATACAGAGTAAGGATCCCGGGAATGGTAGCAACCAGGAGCTCCATTCACATGTGGCTTGGACCTGTAATTCTCTTGTTTGTTTCAGGAAGTGATGGATATGGTCTTGAACTTGGCCGATTTGATTTATTCAGAAACAGCTGGTCACCTGCATGCTCACTTGCTCAGGCTCTGTTCTCTTCATTCAAGGAACATGTTATACTTGTGTGTGCTGGATACTCTTTCTAGCTTCTGGACGGCTAGGGGATGGGGTTGAGAGAGAGAGATACGCATGCAAAGTCCACTGGAGAAAGAGACATGATTATGAGTACCTGGAAGAAGGGATCTGAGCATAACCTGGGGAATTTGAAGGAAGAAGGGGATCCTGATTGGTGAGCAAGTGGCTAAAATAAAGGTGGGAAGAACCCTTCAGGCTCAGGGAGCTGTGTGAAGGAAGGCCTAGTGATGTGACTAGACATGCCGGGACTCCTGATTTCCCAAGCAGAGACCAGAGAGATGGGGCTGCGTTGAGCAGGTGTTTCCTAGTGAGGAACTTGAGAAGTGGGAAGTCATGACATGATCCAACCAGAGGTTTCCACCTCTGGATTCGGTTTCAGACAAGGCCTGGGTAGTCACCGATGGGGCAATCATTACTCTTCTAGATTTAATATTAGCGGAGATAAAAGTTCATAGTTGAGCAAGTTAGGTAGGGCCCAATGAGAAAGAGAGTTTGCAGTTGTTGACTTGGAAAACGATAAATGGTTCAAGGCTGGGCTTTTCAACAGTACAGACCTACGTAGCTTTGTTCCCCCTTGGATTTTATCTTGCAAGCAGCTGGCAAAGCTCCCCAAGGTCTTTTGGAGTGTAAAACAGAATGCAACAAAACCCGTCACCCACCGTTGTAGGAGAGTAAACGTGCGAATCTTCTCACAGGGTCTCATGCCAGTAAGTACTCTGCTCTGACTGCCATCAAGTCAGTGCAGACTCAGAATGAATCCTCTGTAGGACAGAGTGGAAGAGCCCCTGTTAGTCTTCCACTCCAGTCTTCCCAGGAGTGGAAAGCCCCATCTTTAGCTCCCGCTGAGGGGCTGATGGTTTCAAGCGGCCAACCTTGAGGATCCCAGCTCAGCGAGTAACCTCTACGCCATCGGGGGTTCCTAGACGCTCTCCAGACGTTCCACGGAGTACCGAGAAATTAATTGGTTGGGCTGTAGTTAGAACTGACTACTATGAGTTAGAACTGACAATGACATTGAGTGGTACCCCCTACCCCCACCCCCAAAGGTCGAGGAAATAGCTCAGTTAAAAACCAAGTCTTCCAAGGCCACGCTGGAGGAAAGGAAGCCGGTATTGGGGTACGGATCACTGGTTTCAGGCACTGGTGCAGCTGACCCCTGGCAGTGGCGATCCCCTGTGATGTCCCCAAGGACCTCCGGGACCCACAGGGGCGGGGACGGCTCGGGAGGTTGGCGGACGCCCAGGGACGAGCAGAAGCCGAGCCTTGGCCCCAGAATGGTGGCGAAACTCTGCAGCCTTCTATTTAAAGTGTCTGGGCTCTCCCGCCCGGGGCCGGGAACCCGAGCCGCCGCCGCGGGCAGGGGCAGTCGG